GTGGTGGTGGTGGTGGTGGTGTTGGTGGTGGTGGTGTTGGTGTTGGTGTTGGTGTTGTTGTTGGTGGTGTTGGTGTTGGTGGTCGTGGGGGTGTTGGTGTTGTTGGTGGTGGCGGCGGTGGTTGTTGTTATTGTCGTTGTTGTGCAACATTGCGCCACAACGCGACATATTAAGTGCTATCAGGCCCATGTTGTTTCAGGCTTTTAGGTAATAATTGTTTACAAATCTTCATTGAGAGTCCTCCTGCCTAGGTAGATCTAATTACTCCACCAAAGCAGAGCTTCTGCTCTGTTCCTCTGCTTTGTTCCTGCTGAGCGGGGCAACGTTGAAAGTAGAAGCCTGCGGCCAGCACAGCTGAGCATGGTGGAGAGACTGAGTGGGAAGGTCAGTCACAGCGTGCTGGGTGGTCAGCAGAGCGGGGCAAGGAGAAGCCCGCGTTGGTAGGGGGAAGTGCCATTTTTGCATAAGAGACGAATGCAGCGCAGAGGCGAGGGCATGCCGCAGCGCCAAGGTAATGCGCGGCTGCTCGGCAGATGCTCGGGGAGCAGCGTGCATGCAAGTCGCACCTCGGAGCTATTTTTGATGCGCACGAGCCCTGCACTTGCAGCCCGTGCCTGTGTCATCTATCTCAGTCAGAAGCCAACCTGATTGTTTGTTTTGAGTTTGGATGTGCTTACATGTTTGTTGCTTACACATTTGTCAGAATTGGGTGGGATGAGGAATTGCCGTGTCTGGCGTCAGATGGAGGGCAGGACGCGGGCTAAAAGCCCTGAATTGATGATTTCTACGATTCACTGAATTCTCGTAGCTCATGAAAGCGACATGCTGCGTGCCCAAGTTGACAGGTATCACACAATTGACTGGTGCCAGTGCTGCACCCAGTCGCCCACAAGACATTAAATTATAAAGCGCCCACACCAGATCTGCACGCAAGAAAAACACGCACACACACATTTGCCTGAGGGGGGAAAGGCAGTGGCAGGGCATGCGGCATGTATGTATGCGCAAGCACATGCCAGAGCCTGCTCGCACCTACTACAAAACAGCTCACTCAGCTGCAGCTGCAAGGCACCACATTGGGCCGTCTCACATGGCGAAGGCGGCATGCCAGCTCAAGATGCTGAAAACTGTCGACATCGCTGCAAGCACCTGCAAAAACACCCGTGCCTGTGTGCAGACACCACTATGTACGCATGAAAGCGTGAGAAAAACATGTCACTGTGTGCAGCATCGAGTGCAATGGACAATCGTAACCCTGAAGCAGGGTCAAGTGCTTGGTGACATGACCAGTCAACCAGGCATCTGCAGTGCAAGTGACAGACCACCAGGCCTGCCAGAACACACAGCGCCGTGATATGGTCGCAAGGTGCGCACAGGCGCGGCAATCCCAGCAGAACGAATCACGCAAGAAAGGATCCCGCCGACGTCGCCGTCGGCACGGCCTCCTGCTGCTGCAATGATGCACCCTCTCACCGCTCAAGTCAGAGCGGCCACGGCTCGCATGCGCTTGCGGAGCCGCCGCGCCCATCCACCACGACCGTGATGGTCGGGGCCGTGCGTTTGGTGGGTGTGCTGGAACATGCCTGTTCCGGGCACCCAAGAGGCTCCAGTTGCAGGGTGCACCCAGCGGGCGTCGACCCCGCAGCCGGGGCCCACTGCGCGTGGCCGCACCCCTCCCCGGTGACTGGCGTCTCCTCGCCCTCGGCCTCTTTGATGGCTGGCAGCTGCGGCGGCCGTGCGGCCGGCGCGAAGCGGAACATCCGGGCGATCAGCCAGACGCCCGCCCCTGCGCCGCCGCCAGCCACGCGGCCGCGGCGGTACTCTGCAAATGCGCGTGCGCCGCCGCTCCTGCCGACAAACAGCGGGCGCCGCAGCTTCCTGCGCAGCTCGCGCGCGCGGCGCACCGCGAGCAGCGCGGCAAACCCGCTGTCGACTAGAGGAGTCGAACCCACCAACAGGGGCGGCGTAGAGGCGCCGGCAAAGTCACACCCGTCGGCGTCGACCTCGGGCGCGAACGGCGCATCTGCCGCGCTCGCGCCGCGCCGCGCCCAGCCGCTGTCGCCGCCGCCACCACCGCCACGACCGCCGCCGCCGCCCTGCCGCTCGCTTGGTAGCAGGGCGCTGAGGAGGGAGCCGCCACGCAGCCCCTCACACGACACCGCCTCTGCCATCCACTGCTGCTGCTGCTTGCGCCGGCTGCGGCGTTTCTGCCGTCGAGCCTCCAGCGCGCTCACGTCAAGGGCGTCCACAGCAATGCTGTGGCCCGGAGACCAACGGCCAACACCGCCTCCGCTTGCGCCTGCGCCGCCTGCGTTGTCGCAGCTGCCGCCGCAAGAGGCAAGCCCCTGCATCAGCGGGCGCCGCTCTTCCTCGCTGCCGCCGCGCGGCCACTGGTCGCGCGACCGCCGGCCCCCCTCAACATCGCTGTCCTCGTCGCTGCTGCGGGCGCTGCGCTTTCGCCCAAGGCCAACACTGTTGGGAGCCAGCGCCAGCAGCGCCGCACCCCCGAGCATAAATGGGGCCACGGCGGCGATCGCAAACAGCTGCAGCACGTGTGGCGCGCGGTCCGCGCCGGCGGCGGCGCCCTCGGATGAGTCGTCGTCGCTGGGCGGCGGGACCGCAGGCCCTGGGCCCAGCGGTGCGTATGTCAGGCGGCACGAGCGGAAGGACAAGCGCAGGCGGCCAGCTTCTGCATCAAACTTGACGGAGGCTGGCTGCGGCGGGAGCGGCGGGCCGCTCAGGCCGGGCGCACGCAGGGTGCCCGACGCTGTGTTGTTGCCTGCGGCGAAAAGCGGGGTGGTGGGGCAGGCAGGGCGCGATGCGTGGCCGCAAGATTTTCATGCCTGATGGGCGCACAGCGCGCACGCCAGGTGAGAACGGCTACAGCTGGCTGCAGGGCAATCAGTACAAGTCAGCCAAGAAGGGCGTAACCCTGCAGGCGAGGCTCACCTGAGACGATGCCTTTGAAGGCAACCCCCTTGCACGCGTGCTGCTGCCCTCCACGCGCCGGCCACAGCCGCAGCCGGCAGTGGTGCCATACGGCAAGCGCGACAAGCGTCAGGCAGGGGTCGAGCTTGAGGGGCGCAGGGCAGCGCGCGCCGTGCTCCAGCAGGGCAAATTCGGCGGTGCTTGTGTCGGTGTGTGCATCTGCGCTCTCGCGAAGGGGTGGGTGCGGACAGCACGGACAATCAGGGGTGAGATCGCAATGCATTCGTGCCGAGGCCTACATGCACAGGCCAGATGTACGCCGGCCCGCACGGCACGAGGAAGTTGCAGGTAGCTAAGGGCAGTTGGGTAGGATGTGATGACGAGCTGCCATGTGCAGCGGTCGACGGGCGCAACCTTGAAGGCATGGCAACGCCAAGGGCAGGAAAATTGCAGCCGAAGGCTGGCCGTGCACACGCACCCGGCGTGCATGCAAAGCCGCTGTAGTGTGCTCCTGCGTCGCTGCTGCTCCTGCTGCTGCTGCTGCTGCTGCTCCGGCTGCCGTGAACGCAGGCCGGCAGCAGCAGCACAGCTGCTGCTGTCATCGCTGGTGTAGAAAAGCCGTGTCGCCCCGGTTCCATCACCTGCGATCAGGTGAACGTGCAGGTGCCAGCTGGAGCTGCGTGTCGATCCCAGAACGCGCAGCATGCCGACGCGCTGCTGACCAGGTTGCCACGTGGCCTTCGTGCCGTGTACGATGCAGGACCACAGCAGGGGCGCAATTCCAGCAATAAACAGCACCCACCGATATCAGGCGCGATGCACTAGCCTAGTCCCCACGGGGTCTGCGCGCGCTCCAAACTGCCTCCCTCTGCGCGGGCCCCTGCGCAGTCGGCCTGACAGAACGAGTGGCTAGTCCGACGTGTAATCAACAGCGGTCTCGCCACGCGCTAGGGTTGCGTCAGGCCGGTGATGACCAACGACAGGCCCCTCGCAGTGTGTTTTGCGTGCGCTCCACGCTATACGTTGATAACAACGTCACTCCATATCAAATTACCCGTTACAAGCGGTGCAATCCAACCTCACGGCAACTGTCGGGGGACGGCGCCGCCCCTTCAAGCGCTGCATTAATTACTGAAAGGCAGGAGGGGGTTGGCGAGGCCCATGCCAGAACGAACCGATGTCGCGCGTGCCGGTGTGTGCAGAGGCAGAGTGTGGGCCAGTGGTGGCATACAGCCTCCAACCAAGCAGCGCGCACACGGCAAAGCAACATGGCAAAAGCACGGTGCGCGCACGCGTGTAGATGCAAGGTGCGTGTGCAACACAGCGGCAAGGGCCTCCCCGGCACCAACTCCGCGCTTTGGGGCGACATGATATGAACAACATGTTGTGGACTAACGCACAGACAAGATGATACATAGCAAAAATGAGCGTTGATGGGTAGGGAGGGGGCCATGAAGGCTCGTGAGACCAGGGCGACGAGGCAAGTGCGAGGCCTGGCAACCAATGCAGAACCGCACGGCAGCAGGGGCGCAGGAGGTTGGTTGCCTCTTGGCAAGGCAAGCCTTCCCAGAGCGCCGGCTGAAATGTGCACAAACGCGCTTTGGGTCCCAGTCATGCTACGCTGTCCTCAAGCTTCGAAGGTAATCACCTGCGCGCCCTCCGCAACGCACACGCAGCGCGACCACCAATACCAAGACACACCAACGCCGCTGCAGGACGATACACGGCCGCAACCATGCAAAGCTCAGGCAGTGGCCTGCTTCGAGCGCTTGGCCTTGATGTCCTTGACGGCCGCCTTGATCGCATCCTGCAGAAAGCATTTGGGGGTGAGTTGACAGACAGGTACGCCTCGGTCGTTGCCAGGCCGGGTGCAGGAGTGCGTGCGGGAGCCCGAAAGCACGCGTGCTCACAAGCTCGACTCGACGCGGGAACGCATGCATGCTGTGAGGCGAGCAAGCCACTGGAGCCGAGCAGGGCTGCGACGACGCCGTGCATCCTTGGCTGCGAAAGCTGGCCCGCGAAGCCCAACCCACATCCGCGTGACGCCCCTGCGCCGAAGCCCCAGTTTGCACATGCGCCTTGCCGTGATGCGCCCTCAGCACGCGTCCCTGCCCACCTCCGCGAGCATCGAGCAGTGCAGCTTGACGGGCGGCAGCGACAGGTGCTTCGCGATGTCCGAGTTCTTGATCGTCGTGACCTCGTCCAGCGACTTGCCCTTGACCCACTCAGTCGCGACGCTGCTGCTGGCGATGGCGCTGCCGCAGCCAAAGGTCTTGAAGCAGCTGTCCACGATGTTGCCGTCTTCGTCCACCTTGATCTGCAGCTTCATCACGTCGCCGCACGCGGGCGCGCCAACCAGGCCGGTGCCCACGTTGGGGTCGTTCTTATCGAAGCTGCCAACGTTGCGCGGCTTTTCATAGTGGTCCACCACGTTCTTGTGATAGCCGCGCGCCGCGGCACGCACGGCGGGGAGCAGCGCAAGCGCGCCCGCAGCGGCGGTGCTGCTGCTGCTGCTGCTCGCCGCGCAGAGCGCGCTGCCCACCGCCTGGGCCAACGCTGAAGTGGAGGCACGTAGCATGGTCGCCACTTGTCTATCTGGTGCTGCTCAGACGCGATGCCCGAAGCCTCGCTTCGGGGATTGCTCGACGTAATGAGGGTCGCGGGGGTAGAGTCGCTGGTGCTAAAGTTGTATGTGATGACGCCAACTGAAGGTGTATGCACTATGCGCAACGGGCACGAGCTGATTCAAACGCGGTGACGAAGCAGCACGATGATGGGGGCAACACACCACACACCACCACAGCACTGCAGCTCGATGCAAATGCATCAAGTTGCTCTATGCGCTGTAACTTTTGATCATTCTCTTACATAATCTGCATGCGCTCTTCAGCCCTACATCGCCTGGCGTGCCTCTTTCGCGCTGGATCATTGCCCGCGAGAGCTGTTCAACACGCGTGGACGCCTCTTTCACATCGTGACACCCTTGTTGTGAAAGGATCCACCCGTAATTTCAAGGTGAGAAGCGCGCGCCATGATCATGCTCATCTCCACACCTTGCAGCATGCGCAAGTTCTTGATGGGCCTTCATACGGGAGGCTTGTGTGACTGAGATTGAGGCAAAGCTGAGCCGCATGCGACCGTCGAGCAGGCGACGCGCATGTGCGGCGCGGTGCTGCAGCAGACATGCCGTCACCCTCCGCCGGCAGCCACCGGAAACAACCGCTTGACGTCAAGTGCGATAGACCCTTCAGGATTTCCCACAATGTTGCACTGATGCAGAGCACGTGCTTCGCGGCCATGGCGCTCCAGCAGCTCTCCACAGAGGTGGGCATTAGCCGGGGTCGGACTGTGCAGGGCTTTGTGGCCCTGGCCGGCAAGGAAACTCCGCCTGGCGGGCAGTCCCCAAAAGCCAGCCCACTGGTTGCGCAAAAAGGCACGCAACTGGTGCCTTGGCAGCAGCTCAAAGTGCTGGCCACCGTCAGTGCGCTCAACAGCGCTGACCGCCACACGCCCCGGCCCCACTGCAGGTGTGCATCATCGGGAGCGGCCCAGCCGCCCACACGGCGGCGATCTACGCGGCGCGCGCGGAGTTGAAGCCCATCCTGTTTGAGGGTTTCTTGGCCAACGGCATCGCGGCCGGCGGGCAGCTGACGACCACCACGGGTGCGCACGCCACTTGGGGCGGGCAGGTTGCAGCGTCAGCTGGGCGGCGGCCGGGCGGCTGTGGCGCGTTCACAGCAGCTGCAACAGCAGCAGCAGCAGCAGCAGCAGCAGCAGCAGCAGCAGCAGCAGCAGCAGCAGCAGCAGCAGCAGCAGCAGCAGCAGCAGCAGAAGGGCTATGACCATGAGAAACCGCTTGGCCTCCACGCTGCTGTGGCCAAGGCTGCCCATGCCCCGGCTGACATGGGGCACGCCGTTGGTCCCCCCGCCCCCCCATCCCCGCCCTCTCGTCCCTCACGTGCCCCCTCGCGGCCCCCTCCGCCCCACAGATGTCGAGAACTTCCCCGGCTTCCCAGAGGGCATCCTGGGCGTCGAGCTGACCGGCCGCATGCGGGAGCAGAGCGAGCGCTGCGGGGCGGCCATCTACACCGAGACTGTCGCCAAGGTCGACCTCAGCAAGCGGCCCTTCAAGGTGCGCGGCTGCAGCGGGCCTGGAGGGTTTCCAAAGAGCGTGCAACCGGGGCGAGCCTAGGCATGGAGATGGCGACGCTGCTCGCTGAGTTGTTTTGGAGGGGGGCCGGAGCAGGGCAGGGTCGTGGTGCTTTCACACCTGTGGCGCGCAGTGGGTGGTGGCAGGGCGGAGGTGTAGGTGCCAGGCACGCGGAAATCCGCAGCTGCGTAACAGGCAGGATGCTGTGCCTTGTGCTCTGGCTTTCAGCCAGTGCTGGCAGCACCTGGGCCCTGCTGTCGTGCATCGCAACCCCCAACACACTGCGGCCTCACCGCGTCCCACACCCCCTTGGTGCGCCGTGGCCCCAGGTGTGGACGGACGAGAAGGAGGTGACCGCCCAGACGGTGATCATCGCCACAGGCGCAGTGGCCAAGAGGCTGCCCTTCAAGGGATCCGACGAGGTGCGGCACACAGAACTCCTCAGACGCGCCGCCGCGGCGGTCCAGCCTGGGCGGGGCCTGGGACAGTGCATGGGGCTGGAGCTGGGTGGCTTTCTGTTTAAAGCAGGGGCCTGCAACGCCGGAGCTGAAATTGAATGCTGCGACCCAATGGTCTGCTTATCAGTCACGGCACTGCACACTTGGCTGTTTTGAGGCTCAGTGACAGCCAAGGTGCTCTTGATGATAGATGGCCACCGCCACAGCCCAATGACGTCGATTCAGATTTCAGCTCCCCTTGACACACCCCAACTTGCCCGCGCCAGCCTGTCCCTTACATCCTGGTGCGGAGTCGTCGGCCGCATCCCCCACCGAATCCTGGCTCGTTGCGCCACCCTGTCCACAGGACAATGGCTACTGGAACAGGGGCATCAGTGCCTGCGCCGTGTGCGATGGCGCCGCCCCCATCTTCCGCAACAAGGTGGGCGTGAGGGGTCAGGGCTGGGGCGAGGGCCCGTGGAGAAACACAAAGCGGCGGCCAGGGGGTGGGCAAGCAAAATTGTCAGCAAGCAGTGCCTGATTGGGATGGCGCTGATGGCGTGGAATGTGGCCGCATCCGGCCTGATTATGTGCTTTCCTGGTTTTCGTGCGGTGTCGTATGGACAGGTTTGCTTATGGTGTTGAACTCTGCGACTGTTGATTATGAGGGCTGCCTTGATGCCTGGCCCGCACTCAGCCGTGGTTTTTTGGTTGCCCCGCCTCCCGTTCGGCCCACCATGCGCACCCCCATCGATCCCATCACAGCCGATTGCGGTGATTGGGGGCGGCGACAGTGCCATGGAGGAGGCCACCTTCCTGACCAAGTGAGCTGGGTCGCTGTATTAAGAGTGGGCACACGCACGGCAGGGTTTCGTGTTGTGCTATTCATGGTCAAGGCACCCCCCCGCATCCTGTTCCATGTTGTCGTTGCCTCCAAAGGCAGCCCACACTTGCTCAGGTCTGCCTGCTTTGCTCAATTGAAATCTGGCCAGCCAGCCCCAGCTTTCCTTGGCTCATTGCAAGCTCCCCCCTCCCCCTCCCCATCC